CTTATTATATCATTGGTTTTCCCATTGGACTTCTATTGTGCTTTCATCTTCACTTCAATGGGAAAGGACTCTGGGCCGGTATAGTCTCAGGATCAACACTAGAAACCCTAGTCCTCTTTCTTGTTATTGGATTCACAAATTGGAACAAAGAGGTAACTAGAATCGCGTAATCGCTTTGTTTTTTTTGTTTCCAATAATTTGTTCGTTTTTCGAGACTTTAAGCTACTATTTGTTTCTACTTATTTGGAGGATTTTACAGGCAAACAAAGCTAAGGAGAGAATACTAGATGATTCATTGCTTGGTTGTTGAAGTATAGATACGAATTATGGGTGAACATGAAATGTCTTTTTAGTGTGTTTCTTTATGAAACTTCTATTGCTTTGGATTTTAATTTTTTTCTACTCCACTTATTCCTAAGAGGATATATATAATAGATATCCAAGGTTGAAATGTATGAGTTATGCGATTATTGTAAGTGATTTTTTTTGGGTATAATATTGTAAGTGATTTTGAGAGAAAAATATAAAAAAGAACTATGGATTACCCCTAGATATTAAAATTATGATAAATTTTCTCCAATACAGTAAATACGATTGTCGGGTAATCGATCAAAGAAGATTAATGGCTATAACTGCCCTATGAATGATCGTTCATTAAAAGTAATAATTTGTTAAAATTTAATGGGAAAAATTGAAAATTTTGTACAGAAAATTACTTCCGTTCCATTTCATAAGATGTTTCAGGTAAATGCACTACAACCAATTGGTGAGATATGTGACACAATAAGCGGTGCATGAATAAGCCGGCCCACAATTATATGACACTATATATACCAAAGAAATTTATCTAAACTTAATGCTCCAAATTTTTTAATAAAATTTAAATTTTTTAATAAATTTTGGTGCGGCCAGCCCAGCACAATCATGATTATTGTTAGAAAAAAAAAAAAGAAGGAGATACATGCTCTCACATCTCTAGGTCAACAGAGAGTTGATTGCATTTACATACCATATGTTTACTTTGATATGGTTTCACTTTGATTTTTTGGGTTTTTTATTTACCGGTAAACCAAACAAAATTACTTGTAAAATTATGTGGAAGTCGGGTTTGATACATATTTAGTTATGTTTCGAAAATTCAGTTTGCATTTAATAAAAAAAAGCTTTAAAACATGAATCTATAATGATTTAACTGATGTTATATTTTATGTAATATGATTAAATCTATTACATACTAGTATATAATTAGTAAAAACAAAAAAAGCCAGCCCACAGTTATATGACACTATATATACCAAATAATTTTTTTTTTACATTGATGCTCCAAAAATTTGGCACCTAAAGGCGTTACACTTTACGACCTTTAGTCCAAGACCAGCCGAGCACAACCATGATTGTTAGAAAGAAAAAAAAAAAATTAAAGAGATATATGCTCTCACATTTCTAGGTTAACAGAGATTTGGTTTCATTTGTAGACCATATGTTTACTTTGATATGGTTTCACTTTGATTTTTTGGGTTTCTTATAATAAAATTATTTGTAAAATTAAGTTGGAGTCGGTAAGATACATTTTTAGTTATGTTTTGAAAATTTATACATTTTTAGTTATGTTTCGAAACTTTAGTTTGCATTTAATAAAAAAAGATTTAAAACATGAATCTATAATGATTTATTGATTTTATATTTTATATAATATGATTAAATCTATTACGTACTAGTATGTAATTAGTAAAAAAATAAATTTGCCAACTACACGTACCAACTATAGTACTTTGCATGGCCACATACAGACTTAAAAAATGTATATTTACCTACGTACATGCATGGTGACAAATTTAATGGATATATAGGGTTATGACATGTTTTGTGTTACGTGATTTATATGAACATGTCTTATACATTAGTTGGTGTGGGTAAATGTACAATTTTTTTAGTTAGTATGTGTGACCATTCAAAGTACCATAATCGGTGTAGTTGGAAATCTTTTTTTCAAACTTCAAAAACACTTTCATTTAGTTCGGTTACGTGTAAATCGGTTCTGTTTCAATTGTTTGAGTTCACAAAAAAAAACCCAATCATTTATTAAGAATTTATTTCGATCGGATCATTTAAACAATGTTTTCGCTGGCTTTGCCCCATACAAGCGACAGTCTGAAATAAGCAAAATGATTTATGACTTGGAGGCCGCAAGCCCGCAACTCTGCTACTTGTGTGACGAAATTGAAGTTGTTGAGTCAGTAATGAAGACGTTACCATCCTATTTCCTTTTTTTTTTGGTTTCGCACACTGTAATAAAACTACGGTAGGTGTTAGACGCGAAATTCAATGTTTTTCTCGACAGTTTGTGGAAACTTTTCTGTAAAGTAAAATAATGTAAATGAATGCAATAAATACAAAAGTAGGTCCAGTATCCATTAATATGCGGAAAATGGGAACCGTTTGAAGTGAACACCTTACACTAAATATACCAAAATACACTAAATATATCAAAATAGTAATAATAATTGGTTTTGAGTTAGAAACGCATGAAACTTAACAGTATGAATTCATACTGTTTAATCTGATTCATTATCAATCTGATTATAATCTACTTTAAAAGTTGGTTTCATTGATTATGCTGGCCAGAGAACCATCATTTCCAGAGAGACGTAGAAATAATATTTTATATCTAAAGTTAGAAATTTTTTTAAATAATATATAAAAAAACATGTACTAATTTCACTGATTACCAATTAGTTTTAAATTAGAATTTCATAAAACCATATTTAACAGAAACCACTAACCAACTACCACTTAGTTAACAGTATTGCCTTTTGATGTCCATATGAGCTTATATAATGGTGGAAAATCCGATTGTTGACATAAATGGTAAAAAAAAACTAACATAAAAAATCGCAGTACAGTTAGTATTCAGAAATGGCATTACGGTAAACAATGACGGATTCGATATATTTCAATTGATAAGAAATGATGGTATGTTATGTATTATTTTATTTTATAAAGTTACTGTGAATATGAAGTTGTTGTACACGTGATTAGAGTTTGTTTAGCATTAAGGAAAAAAAGAAAATCAAATCTATCAAAATGCTGTGTTGTATACTTCTACTCCAACTTCATTTTGATGCATGCACGCGAACTAGAAAAGAAATTAAATATTTCAGTTGTTCCCTTACAAAATAACTAAGTTGGTTCTTGAAGCTCAATTATATTTTATATTAATATCAAATTTAATTAGGGCCATGTGAGGATTTTCTTATCAAAAGTTACATTTAAAGCATAAAATCACATTTTAAAAAAAAATATTAGTCTAAAATAATTTGTTTTCCTTATAAAAATATTTTCTAATAATTTATAAATAATATTGCATAAATTAAAATGTACTATTATTTATTATGATTGTTTACTTTTTCTATTTATATATATAAAAATCAAAGAGGAGGAAAATGAATATTGCCATTTTTTCTAAGATAAAAAAATATTTTGCAGATTATATATCTGCAAAAGATATTCAAATTGATGTAATTAATATCAAACAAAGTATTTATTTAAATTAGAACTTGGAAATTAATAGAAAAAATTTGAATTTTTAATATAAAGAGTAAATTATGATTCATCTCGATTTGTGAAAAATAAAAATTAAAAAAATGTCATAAAAAAAGAAAAATATATTATAGAAAGAGACAAGAAAGAACGGTACCAGTCTACCAATCAGAGACGAATCTAACTCAGCAAGTATGGGCGCAAGTGCATCCATTATTTTTTTTTAAGAAAAAATTATTAAAGAATATTGTTTAGGTTTTAAAAGAAAATCAGCCAAAACTTATCTGCACACCCATTGATTTTTTTTTTGGTTTGCCCTTCTAATTTTATGAATTTATGATTTTATCTTTATTGTCTTTTTGTCAAAGTATCTTTATTGTTTTGATATTTACTAATATGTGCTCCAATAATAATATGTGTTTAGACTTTAGATCCATCTCTGTACCAGATACCACGCCTATTATTAAATTGTAGGGTCTTCGATTTGAACAATTAAATTCACGGTCTTGCGCACAAACGAAACAGGAGTCTATCGAGTGGACCAGCATAATTTGTATATTTACCAGGGTGGATCTCCAAAGTATGCAACTTGTGTAATATAATATAGGTTCATTTGGCCTATCGGAACGCTCCATTTGTACTTTGATCGATTTTCTAAATTTTCTTTTCTTTATTTTTATTGACAACAATTTCATCAAAGAAACAAAAAAAACTTCAATTAAACAAAAATCTATGGTTCAAAATAAATATACATTCATCAAACAAATAATATCAAACAAATAATATATATTGTTCAAAATAAATATATTGTCCAGAAATTAAGTTTACGAACTTTAATTAAACAAAATCTGCCATCATTACAACTATAGCCTTTCGTATATTAACATCTAAGTTTTTCGGTAAATAAAACCAACTTCTACATACATGAAAAAAGTAGCAGTAACACTTTATATTTTTTTTTTTCCGGCAGTAGCAGTAACACTTTATAATTACGGTTTTTGCTAACAAAGGATAAAAATCTATCATTGGTAGCATTGTTTTAGTAATTTGAAAAGATTTGCATGGCATTTCCAAGATTATTTTAATAACCCATCCTAAATATTCAAAAAGCCTCAATTTTATACGAATATAATATTAATTATAAAATATTGTTATCATTTGTGTATGTAATAAGTGCTTTTTGGATCAACAACATAATTTACGAATTTGAATCTAAATGGTAATATAACGATAACATTTACATAAATCATTAGCCTACAATTTTTAAGTGTTTTTATTCAAGAGCCGACAGGATTTTTCACATGTAGATATGCACTGCTCACGTTTATTAGCATATATTAAGTGGTAACCTTTATCTTCAATGAATAAGTCAATATATGCAACGTGTCTATCTTTTTCGGGCGCGTGTATATATGAAGATTTTAACTCATTAATAACACCAAAAGTCTTGGCAAAAAATAATACAGTCAAATATATTCGACCCAATTTCCCATATTTTCTTACCAGAAGGAAAAATGAAGAGTATTGAAGCTCCATTACTGGTGAAGAACAAACAATCAGAAGAAGAAGAGAAAGATAAAATAAGATGGGAGAAGATGAAGAAGGTTGCTTCAATGGCTGCTCCAATGATCGCCGTGAACATGTCTCAGTATCTTCTTCAGGCAACTTCAATGATGATCGTTGGTCACCGGAGTGAACTCTACCTTGCCGGAATCGCCCTTGGAAGCTCCTTCGCTAGCGTCACTGGTTTTGGTATCCTCGTAAGTAAATTTTCTTTTATCTTGTGTGATTCTCTAATCACTTTTTTCTATAATATGATTGGTTTAATAATCATATAGTATACAATAGTTTGGACTTTCAGGTGCTTTGGAAACACTGTGTGGCCAAGCATTTGGAGCAGAACAATATCACAAGCTTGGATCCTACACTTTTACTTCCATGATTTTTCTCTTGATCATCGCTCTTCCGATTTCTATTCTCTGGATGTTCATGAACCAGATCCTGATTTTGCTTCACCAAGACCCTCAAATCGCTGAGTTAGCAGCTGTTTACTGCCTCTGGCTCATACCGGCATTATTCGGTTACTCGGTTCTCGAATCGCTGGTTCGATATTTTCAGTCACAAAGATTGATCTTTCCAATGGTCTTGAGCTCTCTAGCCGCTCTGGCTTTCCATGTTCCTCTCTGTTGGCTAATGGTTCACAGATTCGAGTTTGGAGTCAAAGGAGCGGCTGTGTCTATAGGTATCTCCTACTGGCTTAACGCGATTTTCCTTTGGGTTTACATGAAACGCTCTCGAGCTTGTGTCCAAACGCGGATTTATATGTCCAAAGATGTGTTTCTTCACACAAGAATCTTCTTTCAGTTTGCGGTTCCTTCTGCAATGATGTGTTGGTAAGTATGTAAAGCTTTATAGAAAATCTCAGTAGATAAACCAAATGATGGTACTTTAGTGGTTATCATTGGCTGAATTCTAGATATTAGTCTTGAGTTTTGGTTTGAGATCTTTGGTAATAAAATAACTATTTTCTAATGGATCTTTTTTTTTCCTTACAACCCTTTTAACACATTTCTTTCTTTAATGTAAAGCTTTATAGATTACTCAATAGATTAAACAAATGATGGTATTCTAGTCGTAACTGGATATTAGTATGAGTTTTCGGTTTAAGATCTTTGGTTATAAAAAATAATATTTTCTGATGTTTTTTTTTCTTCTTTACCATCATCCTTCCTTCAATAGCCTTGAGTGGTTAGCTTTCGAGGTGATTACTTTGCTATCTGGTCTTCTACCCAACTCAAAGCTCGAGACTTCGGTTATTTCGATTTGGTAAAGCATTGAACCACAAAAAATTATACACTCCTCTGTGCTTAACTTTTCTTTTATTTCTAAGCCTTGATTTTTGGGATTGAGCAGTCTTACTACCTCTTCATTGCATTACAATCTAGTAAATGGAATCGGTGATGCAGCAAGGTTTGCTTTTACTTTTAATACTCTAAATTAAAAGCACAATTTTCACACATTTCCATTTTTAGTTTATATTTCTTTTTTTTCCATATTGTTTAGTACCAATGTGGCGAATGAGCTAGGAGCTGGGAATCCTCGAGGTGCTTGTGATTCCGCATCAGCTGCGATAATAATTGCAGCTGTTGAGTCAGTTGTTGTAAGCTCTACTCTCTTCTTATCTCGTAATGTATGGCCTTATGCTTATAGCAATGTGGAGGAAGTAACTCGCTATGTGACCGAGATCACTCCCATTCTTTGCATTTCAATCCTAATGGACAGCTTCTTGACCGTCCTCTCAGGTTAGCCAATTTTTAACCATCCTCTCCGGTTTTAGGAACCATATTTTTAATTTTCCTCATTCATAAACCAAATATTTTGTTGTGTTTAGGAATTGTGAGAGGAACAGGGTGGCAGAAAATTGGAGCGTATGTGAACATAGCTTCTTATTATATCATTGGTATTCCAATTGGACTTCTATTGTGTTTTCATCTTCACTTCAATGGGAAAGGACTTTGGGTTGGTTTAGTCTCAGGATCAACGCTACAAACGCTAATTCTCTCTCTTGTAGTTGGATTCACCAATTGGTCCAAAGAGGTGATTAAAACCGCATAAATCGCTTTGTTTTTGTTTCTAATCCTTTGTTCGATTTTCGATACATTTGAGCTAATATTGGTTTCTACTTAAATGGGAAATTTTGCAGGCAATCAAGGCTAGGGAGAGAACACTAGATGAGAAAGTTTGGAAACATGACCCATTGGTTAACTGAAGATGGATGAATTAGTTGAACATTGATTTGCCTTTTTAGTTAGATTGATCAAAAAACTTCAACGGTTTTGGATTTTGATATTTTTCTACTCTACTAATTCCTTAAAAAAATGTATATGCTAAAAATGTATGGGACCTAAATAAAGTCAAGCGTTGATTTTGAGAGAGAATTAGAGATTTTTATATAATTTGATTTTGTTTCCCACCGACGTATCACGAATCGGGTGAATACAGAAATAGTGAGATCTCGAGGGTGATTATAATATTAATCATCTGTAATACCACTTGACTCGATCGCAATAATGTATATAATAATGATAACCAAAGGAGCAAAAAGCAAAATTTAAATACTTTTCCCGACAAGAGATGAGAGAGATGCTCTTATAGTCAAGGTGATTGTAATGCGGACAACACGTTACATGTGGAAGAATATTTCCCATTAGAGGAAAAACACATGGATATTTTACATTGAAGGTCAAGAAAGTCGAAACATTTTCAATACCATCCCAAGAAACAAAAATAACTTTTTGGAACTAAAGAAACAAAAATGTTTTTGTTTTTTTACTAAAAAAACAAAAATGTTGGACATGAAAAATGAATAACACAAAGAGATACTGTGTAATAAAGAGTGATTGAGGTCAATATACATAATTGACTAGTTTATTGGGTATATAATAATGTTATTTTAAAAATTAGAAAAGTAACAAAAAGAAACTTTTTAAAGCTATTAAAGTCCTTTGATAACACTTGATTTTGACCACTTTTCACCATTGATTTTAAATGCTTTTTCAAAAGTTTTTTATTATGATTTTCATGTATTTGTAGTTTCAAGGCTATTTTCAGGAAACTTAAGGAATATGATGTATGGAAGAAATCCACATTTTTACCTCAGAGTCAGACCGTCAGAAGTTCAGCCTCAAATGAAGACTTTCTCACCGTCCAATCCAGCTCAAATTTGGATAAAATCAAGAGGAGACAACCAGCTTTCCATAACACTTTACATCACAAAGATCCAACGGTGCAATTAAAAGATACATGGAGAACAAGTTGACCCAGTTCACCAGTCCCGGAAGACTCTCACCCGCGGGAAACACATGTTTTACCTATCCTGGAAGACTCTCACCCCCGGTGGACCTTAGGACGAGCCACAAAGCCCAACATCAAAGCCCACTTCGCCATTTCTCTTCAGAAAAGCCCTAAATGAGACCTGAAAGACCTTAGGACCTATAAATACATTGTTTAGCAGTCCTAAACGGGTGTGTGCTCATGTAATGAGATTTTGAGCCACCAAACTTTGTTTTTCTAGGGTTAGGCGATGGAGATGGGGATTCTTCCCCAGATCCATTGTTCTTTCTCCTTTTTATCTTATTAACTTTTCTGTTTCATTTTTTTTGCATTCTTCTATGTCGTTTATCAGTCATTGCATCATGTAGATTAGTCCCAGAGAGTCAATTGTTTGAAGATATCGACAAACATATATATATCGATTAGGATTTCTATTGTTCTTAGCTATATTCTGGATCTCATATCTTCTAAGTTGTTCGTAAAGCATGAGAGTAGATTCATGTCCTATTCTCTGAGCCTAGGATCGATCAGAGCTACGAGAGTGTTGTATCAGATCATCCATACCTAGCTTCAAAAGAACATAGTCGCTATAGGAGTCGAGAGCTACCTATAGAGAAGATGTGAGCAGACAAATTCAAAGTCCAATGCATGATCTTAAGTTTAGCATGAGAGCGAGAGTTAATTGCTAGATCTAAGAGATTAGTTGATTAAGATGACAACAGTTGGTTAATCATACATATGTCTATTCTAGTTCAATGCAGATTCCCAGAAACAGATTAAGATAAATCGCCCGGAAGCTAATTGGAAATGCCATCATACATCGATGAAAGTTACCTGGAGAAGTCTAAATCGCCACCTATAAGTTTAAGAGTCTCTAGTTTGAATCGATATGCTTTAGATGTTCTTTTTACAATTCATCTTGCATTGCATTTCTTGTGAATACTAGATTAGGTTTAGTTTAGATCTTAACCAAAAACCCCAAAGCTTTTATTGGTTTATGAGTTTGCTTATTTCCCAGTTTATTGTTTCTTGCAGATTAGACATCCTCCTTGTGGATCGACACCCTAAGTCCTACAACGTACATCTGTGCACTTGCAGACACTAGGGTTTTATAAATTTAAAACTTAAGGAGGACCAACGGGCTTGTTAAAAAACAACCCTAGGCCCGCAAGCCCATCATCCTTCTCTTTTTGATTTAATTATGTAAATGTCATTATAAGAAAAAAATTTATTTATCTCGGTACCACAGTTCATTTTATGTTACTGTTCATCTGTTAGCAAAAATACTATTCATCACCGATAGTACTGTTCATCTTTGCCAAATTTTGGATAATAAATTAACATCTCATAAAAAACTATTTGGCTAAAATGCTAACAAGTTATATAGTATATTAATGTGCTAACATTGATATTTGATATTATTATTAACCTACTAACAATAGAATTATATTGATCGATAACAATAGTAAAATATTGGTTTGTATTGTTAACAAGTATTAGTTTTTATTGTTAGCAGGTTAATAATAATATCAAAAATTATTGTTAGTATGTTAACAAACATTATATTTTATTGTTTGCTCGTTAACATGTCTCATACATATTGTTAATACGTTAAAAGTGTTAGATATTAATGTTAACATGTTAACCAAATAATTCTCTATTAAATTTTAACTATCATAACATGCTAAAAATATACTTACCCTAATGTAATCACTTAAATTCTAATTAATGAAGAAGATGTTAAAAAAATGTAAAAAATATTTCATTTTTTTTCTTACAAAGTTAACATGATAACAATGATTATAACAAATTACATGGAATTATATCGATAACAATGATATATTATATGCTAACATTAGTATCCATTCATAATACCGTTGTGGTGGTGATGGTGACCAGAGATAATATACCGGATTGTTTAATTCTAATTTGATTGGATTTAAAGAATTTCCTACGAAAATCAGACAAATCGAAGTACAAATTGGACTCGTTGAACTTGAAATCTGAATCAATGGCGATGTGGTAAGATTGATCTGCGGGAAGGAAATGATGACTCGGCCATGAGTACTGGATTTTTGTCGACGCTTTTGAGATGATGAAGAAGAAAAGATGTGAGGTGAGACAATATGTGAGCAGATTTTTTTAAATTAAAGAAAAAGGTAAATGGAGTGCTTTATAAATTTCTTTATCGAAACACTGTACGAAAACGTGTGAGATCACGCACTTAATTTACGAATCTTCTATTACTACTTTGCAATTTTTCTGAAATAAATGTGAGAACCTGTTTTTTTAAGAATATTCACAAACGACAAACACGTGATTTGAAGTGTTGTAGCTTAATAAAATAATTTTTTTTTTGACAAAAGCGATTAAAAATTAAAGAAGCATTGTAGTTTTGATAACGATTAAGAAGCTCCATGGGTTTAATTCAGAGGATCATGATAAACATGAATTGAAAAGTAATTAAGAAGCCAATCATCAGATTATTGTAGTTCTGATATCTCTATATTATTATTTGAGTAGATATTTACATAAATAAACTTTTATTTATAAAATATTAAAGATTATTTTACATAAATAAATATTTATTTATAAAATATTACATAAATAAACTTTTACTTAAAAGATATACATAAATAAACTTTACAAATATAGAAAGCTTAATTAAATATTTCTCCATAAGAGATAGCTAAATATTGAGTTTATAGATTTGTTTTCCATATATATAGATATAACTCAAAAGTGTATTTAGTTTCTTTACTTATTAAATACTAGGTGGGGATCCGCGCGATGCGCTGGTTTGCAAGGTTGATGAAGCTGAGTACTTAATTTTTTTTTTATAATATCAAAACGCTGATGTATTATAGAAACTTTTAATTGTGGAAGAGCATTCATAGTCATCAAATTGGTTAGTTGGATAATTGTATTTTTAAAAAAATTCATTAATTCTGCAAACACCATTATTATTTTGTATTCTATTTGTTTTATGTTTGATTCTCGACAATGAGGACAATCACTAATAGGAAAAAGATAAGTAAACTAAAATGTCATTTAATAAATAATTAAATAAACCATTTAAATAGTAAAATTCTAAACCTTAAAAAAAAAAACTATAGTTTCCTTACATTCTGAAAGACGGCTTTGTATACAACGTTCAAAGTCTTGGTATGTGGCTGACCCATTGTATCCGTTATCAGAATCTTCAAACCAGCTCTTGAAGTAACACGTGATATAGCCACATAAAGTTGTCCATGGGAAAATACTGGTTTTGGTAAATACATGTCAACCTTTTGCAAAATCTGTCATTGACTTTTATTGATAGTCATTGCATAGGCGATAGCTACCGGAAATTATCTACGCCTCATTCTAAAAGGAAATCTTGTCTCTGTGGGGGAAACAAATATTTGTGGGATCAAGATCTTTTGACCAATATATTCTCCAGTTATGTGGCTAGCTTGAATAACATGTTTGGCCAGCTGTGTTACCAAGAGTCTTGTTCCATTGCATAAACCACCTCTAGGGTCAATATTCCGAAGCAACATAATAGGTGTCCCTATTTTCAATTTCAATTCATGGTTTGGCAATCCTGAGATCTTAATACTATTAAGATATTCATGTGTGTAAACTTTCTCGTCAATCTTGCTCTTATCAGAAGTATCGATGCTGTCCGAGCTTAAATATGTATGTTCCTCAGCTAGAAAAATGTTTTACAAAGTTCAGTTGATCACATTATGAAGCTAATGTGTAAGATCGTATGTGTAAAGCGTTAAATATGTTTACCTTTTATTTCTGACAACATGTATTCGCTTATTAATCCCACGTCTGCATTTCTCGGGCTAAGAATTGCTCTGTCTTGAAAAAATTTTGGATCTCTTTCCGATCTGTATGAATCACCATACACTTCTCTTACTATCTCTTTAACAGGATCATCACATTTTTTTATCAGTAAATCGTCAGGGATTTCAATCTCAGCTTCATCGTTGTCAGTCGAAATAATTTTGCCATCTCCTACATCTAAAATCCACTTTGAAAAGGCCTCTAGCTCATTAACGCTATCACCTCCAGCACCATTTTGAAGCCTCATATTCTTGGTTAATTCTAAAAC